CCGGGACTTGAACTGGGATCAACTACATGGGAGTCCAGCAACATAGCCATTATGCCAACTGCTGGTCCCCAAGAGTTATTTTATTTACTTTTACTTAGTTTATTTTAATTTGACCAGAGAGGGGCAGAGAGACAGAGAAAGTGAGAAAGCTAGCTACCGGGTCCAGGACTTGAACACTCAAACCATGGTCAACCATGTGGGAGTCCAGTGCCCTTAAACACCACACCACTTACCAGCCCCTAACAACTGACAACTTTGATAAAGAAACATGTATCCTTGGGCTGGCTTCATGACCGAGTGGTTAAGTTAGCCATATCCCACATGACCAACAGCAGGTTGAATCCCAGCCCTGGTGGCTTGAAAAACATTCATGGCAAGTATGTGTGCAAGCCCAAGATCCTGACAGGATGGAGAAATGGAGAAGGGACTGTGGTGTGATCATATCCCATTGAGAGTGCCTTCTCCCTCTATCTCTCTCTCATGGTGAGTGCATGCATCCTTTGGCAAATTTAAAAGAAGAGAACCTTGCAACTTAAACATATAATGTATATATTCCTTTTTAAATGCCCTTGGAATATTCACCAAAAATAATCACAGAAAAATATTAGTCTCAAAAAATTAAGCTTTTCCAGATCTCATTCTAATCATAATCCAATCAAAGTAGGAATAAACACTGTATGAAAATCAGCAAACATTTCCTTTGTGATACCTAAATCAAGCAAAACTTGAAACTGAAGTACTAAAAACATATAAAAAGCAACACTGCCAGGTCAACAGATAGCTTAGTAGTTGAGGTATTGTACTCCCATATGGTCAACTGTAGTTCAGGTTCCAGACTGGTGGCTTGAAATTGCATGCCCCAAATCCCTAGAGGAGAAGGGATGGCAGTGTGGCCATTTCCCCAGGGGGTAATTTCTCGCTTTCTGTCTCTCTAGCTCTGTCTCTCTGATGAGTGAATACACTCTATAGGGAAAAATCTCAAAAAATAAAAAACTGGCTAGTGACCTTTTCATAAAGAATTTATTTATTTTATTATTATTGTTGTCATCATTATTTTTAATTTGCTATAGGGCACATGCACTGACCAAAGGGAGGCAGAGAGAGAGAGTGAAAAAGGAAGCCACCAGGTCAGGACTTGACTGCAGTTGACTATGTCGGAGTTCAGTGCCTTGACCACTACACCTCTCCCAGCCCCTGTCTAATGACATTTTAAAAAAGAAATGATCAAAAGAAAAATCAGAGCTTTAAATATCTTTATTAGTAAAGATGAAAAATTAGTAATAAAACAAGTATGAAGATATTTGTAGAAAGGCAGAACAAAACAGTTGACAGAATTTGATTTAAAACTGAAATAAATTGAAATAGACTTAGTAGAAAGAAGAAATAAATTCTTTGAACCTTTGACCATCAATAAAAGGATATTCCTGGGACCAGCAGATGGCATAATGGTTATGTCATTGGACTCCCACATAGTTGACTGTGGTTCAAGTTACAGACCAGCAGCTTAAAAGTCATGTCAGGTGGGGGACCAGCAGGTGGTATGGTGGTTAAGGTGCTGGACACTCCCACATGACCAACTGTGGTTTGAGTCCTGGACCTGGTGGCTTACTTTCTCTATGTATTTCTCGGTCAAATTAAAATGAATGAATGAATAAATAAATAATTCTTTAAAAAAAAAACCTCATACCAGGTGTGCATGCATACGTGCCTAAAATCCCAAGAAGAGTACAGAGGAAAAGGGATTGCAGCATGGCTATCCCTGGGGGGGGGGGTGTAATTTCTCACTTTCTATCTGT